AAAAAGTCGCGAAAAATCGGAATCGAATAAAAAAAAAAGGAGAGATCGGAAAAATTCGGATTTGAAAAAAAGTATATTATTTCGTATTCAAAAGAAGTAATTGAGGAAGTAATTGTACTTGACTACTGTCAAACTTCATTTATTGACCGTTTCCAACCATTATCTATATTGCAAATCTATTGGCCAAAATAATTTGATTTTACGTCGACCCGGCCGTTGGGCTGAGGTCAGCCCGTATCACTAGTTAATACGGTTAAATGATTAAAAAGATTTAAGGCGAAAAATTTTTACACAATATAAAATGTTTAAGTTGAAAAGATAAGTAATTGTAACTGATAAAGAAAAAAGATAATGAAAGAAGATACGAATAATAAAAGATATAAAAAGAAAAAATAATTTCATATAACGTTAACACGTGGTCGAATATTTATATTTATGACGAATTTTTATGAACGATATGGCATTTGACGAATTTGAAAAATACAAAAAGCCATAATGAAGTTTCGATAAAGCCGAAATAATTTCGGTCACATGTATATGATCCATCATGAACAAGAAGAGATTAAAAGGATTGGTCAATAGAAGTAGTTGGGGATGCTTCAGTAGTTGTAGTTTCGTAAGAGTCAATTTCGTAAGGGTGTGGAGTTCTGAAAAAGAAGGAATTGCTTGAAAAAAAGATGCTTTCGATACTAGTTGACCTAGGCTTCGGCCCACGTTTCTTAATCGGGATAATAATAATACAGCGTTCGTTATCATTTCTACAGTTTTTACAGGCGTACTCAGAAAGTCTTTCACATTTTTCATGCTTCTCTTTACAAGATTCACATGCTCGTGTAGCATGAGTACGTGTTTTTTGTTGAGGCATGATTAATTAAAATGTTAAAATGCTATGCACGCGAAAAAAAATGGGCTACAAATACGATAGCTGTAATGAATTTACAATGTAATAAATAACAAATATTAATGGTGATAGTGAGGGTTGAAATATAATAATATGATAGACGAAGTTTGGAAAAAGTGCCACTAGGAAGATAATGTTTTTATAATAATTGTTAGTCAAAAAAAAGCCCAATTTGAAGAGATCGTAAAGAAATTTCATGGCGGAGGGAGGTTCTTTGAGGGAGATTATATATTATTTTTCGTTATGTAAAATATAATATACGTATACAGTATCTTGTATATGCAAGTATAATATATTCCTAAAATGGAAATAACCAATTTATATACATACGTAGTTTATTTAATATTTAATATTTAATCGAGATCGGCAACTAATCGTCTAGTCGATTAGTTGTCACATGTACACATATAGTCTGAGGCCTGTAATACAATTTATGTTGCAACATATTGAAGTGGGTTGCTAGATTTATTAGTGTATTCTACGTAGTCTTTATATTATAAATACTATAAAGGAATAGTTATCCCCAGAACAAGTAGCGTTTCTAATTGTGCTAAAATAAACTGTCCTAGTAATAACCCCGACGTTAGAGACCTGCACGGGCCAAAATTGAAACTTTTTTAAATATACAAAAATGCCGGCAGTCATATCAAGAACATAACAAAAAGCGGTCGATCTTTTTTTTAAAACAGTAATTTTATTTAGCGAGCCGTGCCGGCCAGCAAAAAATTATTTTATCAGGTCCTACCCAACGTAGTGTGGACCCAAGCTTCGACGTAGTGAGATTTATCATGTAGCTAAAGTGAGGACGACCAAAGCATTATTATTATATTTTTTATTCGCTGAATATAAACACTTTCTTTCAATGGGTTGTCTGTTTTTTTTATAATCACGAAATTGGCTGTCATACTAATCGTACTATCAAAAATAAACATAAAATTTTTAAATCCTATTATAAATTCATTTTTATTCATCTTTTTG